TCTACTTTCTAGAACTATCCTGTACTTTGGCGAATGCTCTAGCATTTACTAGATATAGGGTAGTCTGGTATATAAATAGGATGCTCACAACGTGACAACAATGTGTGTGTAGACAGTGAGTAATTTATCTGCAGTCAGAGAGTATTATTGAGCACGTTCGTAGTTATAGCGTTTGTTTTATCGGGATTGTTAAAATTAAGTGTATCGTAAAGTTATATTCGGAAAGAATAAACCAGTTTTATTAAATAAGGACTTGTGTCGCTAAAGTTTTGTCGGAACGAAGTTACGGAAAGTTAATTAACAAACGGAGACGTAACACCAGTTTTATTTAAGAAAGGACTTGTGTCACTAAAGTTTTGTCGGAACGAATTTACGGAAAATTAACTAACAAACGGAGACGTAACAGTATGTTTCTTAGTTATAATGACACCCATTATGGGATCCTATTTAAGTAAACAACCTGTAGGAGTTTGTTACTTACAACATTATTCTACATTTCATATTAGGCTAATAGATAGGCACAATAACCCAAGCAGATAAGTTTAAATACCTTTACTCCTTATAAACGAGATGGGTATGAAACCAGGAAGTGAGAGAGAGAGTAAGGAATCATTTAATTGAAAATTAAGATTTATTAGACAGTAATTAAACCATTTCCATTATATGAAGTAGAGACATGGGCATTGTAATGGAAAGAAAAAGTTTTCTGGAAAGAATAGAAATGTGAATATTATGTTGGGTGATTCTTAATGGATAGAATGATGATATTAGAAAATGGACATATTATTAGATATATAAGATACTGTTCTGTAAGATACTGTTATGTAAGATAACAGAAAAAGCTCATGAAGCTAGACTGAGATTGTATGGGACGTGGAAAGAAGTGAGGAAAATAATTCATTGAGAATAATAATTGGAATGCCAGGATGTCAAAAACTGAGATAGAAAGGTAAAAGAGATCAAAACATGAAAGAGATAGGTGTAATCATGGAGGATATAAATTATTGGACGAAGACTGCTGAAGTAACCAACCCCAAAACTAGAAGGGATTAAGGTCAAATGAAGAGGAAGAAGAAGGTTGTCTCATTGAGAAAGATTTATGCCTGTCCTTTATAACTGTTTGATACAAGATGTGTTTGTTTCTTCATCGGTTGCATCCTACTGGGCATGCCTCCTTAAGAATCTTTGTATGAATTACTTCTATTCTTGTTTTTGAACAGTTATTTGTAAACAAAAATTTATTTTTATGCCATTGGAAGTAGCAACCATTTAGATTTGTCAGTAATGTGAATCCTATTTCCAGATATTCTTGGATCAAGAATGGCGAAGAATTTGATTATGTAGCATATGATCGTAGGATTAGCCAGCAGCCTCGCAGGGGAACTCTAGTCTTCACAAAACCAGATGATGTAGATGAAGGCTTATACCAGTGTTTTGCATCAAATATTCATGGGACATCAATGTCTAATGCTGTCTTTTTAAGAAAATCAGGTATGTGAATTTCTTGCTTTAAAGTGAGATATACTTTCTGTCTTTCATATTTGGTATAAAACTGGTATTTCATATTTCATGGAACCACATATCTGTAGAGTAGTCAAGGTTTGTTGACTGTGTTATTTCAGTATATAAATAATCAATCTCTTACAAAAACAATGAGCATTTTGAAAAATTAAATGGTGAGTATAGTACTTCACATCTTGTTAAAATAGGGTACAAATCTACACATTCCAACATAAGAGTGGAACCTGCGTTCTGTTTCCCCATGTAGAGTGGAGCCTCTATTCATTGTCTTGTGATCTATATGTGAAATGGGCATAAGGTTGTGTTGTCTTGCTTGGTTGTATACAAATAATTTATAACTAGAGAGGAAACTCATGCTTCCTATACAAAATTTTTTTATGGTTGTGATATTTTGTATTTGAATGCACAAAATTGATAAAATCTAAATGCAGTGCCATGTATTTAAAGTAATTAAAACAGTTTAGTGACATGCCTATTATACTACCCAAACATGAGGTTAAGTACGTAATGTTCTGAACAACTCTGCTGGCTATTCAGAGTGTCTCAATGACTATGAGGCTAAATCTAAGTGGGTTAAGCCTATTCCGCAATATGTTATACTCGCCAAACATCTTTAGTACAAAAGACACTTTGAGCCAAATGGTCTGATCAAAAATGACAAACCAATTGGTTTAGTTAGTAAAAGACACCAGATCTAGAGAAGCTTTCAAAACCTGGGTACCGGGGAGACAGTACTGTTACTCTAAGTGTCTATAGACAAATGAGAAATTCACACACAAAAACTTATTAACAACAACTATAATACAATTTCAGTATTTAACATGTGAGTAATAATTGTTTTAACTCTAAGTTAACTCTTTTGTCTTTCATGTCTCATTGTTATTTGCAGAAATTTGTATCTTTCTATCAAACTGCATGCTGTTCTTTATATAGATATTTTCTTTATAGTTTGTTTTCACATATGTTTATAAGCTCAGTACTTGTACATCTGTGTTGAACACTTTCACATTGTTATGCATTCAGTACTTGTACGTCTGTGTTGAACACTTCGACATTGTGATGCGCTCAGTACTCGTACGTCTGAATTGAACACTTCGACATTGTGATGCGCTCAGTACTCGTACGTCTGAATTGAACACTTCGACATTGTGATGCGCTCAGTACTTGTACGTCTGTGTTGAACACTTCAACATTGTGATGCGCTCAGTACTTGAACATCTGTGTTGAACATTTTCACATTGTTATGCATTCAGTACTTGTATATCTGTGTTGAACACTTCGACATTGTGATACGCTCAGTACTTGTACATCTGTGTTGAACATTTTCACATTGTTATGCATTCAGTACTTGTACGTCTGTGTTGAACGCATCAACATTGTGATGTACTCAGTATCTGAACGTCTGTGTTGAACACTTTGACATTGTGCTGTACTATGTACCTGTACATCTGTGTTGAACACTTCAAAATTGTGATACGTGCAGTACTTCCACAGATTCAGTAGTTCAGAGTATCCTGCTTGTTTTCAAAACTCCCACCACCTCAACTATTGTTCATATAATTCAGTCATCTTCTGTAATTCTTTTCACCACTCCCAGGAGTCAGCTCCATGTATTTAGAAATAAAACATGTTTGTTTAGCGCTGTGAATGTACGTTCATGTCCTTACATATACATGTGTGATAAATCAACATGTAGTTTTAGTCTATAGAGATAATGCTCTTCAAATGTTGTGGAATCCCTAAGCTGGGACATTCATTTTGTACAGTTATAATTACTTGTGATATGTAGGTGAAGTGTTAAATGTATTAATCAAATTTTCTTTCAAGAGTTAAACTCCTTTCCTGATGAACATCCGAAAAAAAAGTACGTTTTGGAAGGTTCCCCTTTAACCCTAGACTGTAACCCTCCCACTGGATATCCAAAACCAACTATTTTCTGGATCATACAGTCGCACAGTGGATCCCTTCGAAGCATTAACAAGTGAGTTATTTTAAAATGTTTGTTTTTCTTAATATTTCTATCTTTTAGGAAAAATGATTTTGTGACTGTTAGTTAGTGTCTGTTGAAAATTATAAAATTAATGAAAAGAGGGTTTCATTCAAACCCAGTTTTAGTCTATTAATTTATGGGCTTTGTGTTATTCTTAACTACTGTTCATTGTCAGCCCCGGCCAAGATTTAAAAATTTTCTCTATTTATAGGCTTATTGCATTTATATAGTGAATGTCTTTTGATGCTTGAATATGATGTGGATCTTAAATTTGCATGCTTTTCTTTACATGTTTTTGAACACCATAGTGGTAGAACTTTTGCAACCTAAATTACCTGTATTCATATCCTACATTTGATGTTTTATAAACTAATATCTGATATTTATATCTAAAACAATAATATATTCTACACATTGACATAGACACACAAGTCAGTTTTGCTCGTAGATAACTACACATTGACTTAGACACACAAGTCAGTTCTACTCGTAGATAACTACACATTGACTTAGACACACAAGTCAATTCTGCTCGTAGATAACTACACATTGACTTAGACACACGAGTCAGTTCTGCTCGTAGATAACTACACATTGACTTAGACACACAGTCAGTTCTGCTCGTAGATAACTACACATTGACTTAGACACACAGTCAGTTCTGCTCGTAGATAACTACACATTGACTTAGACATACAAGTCAGTTCTGCTCGTAGATAACTACACATTGACTTAGACACACAAGTCAGTTCTGCTCGTATATAACTAAACATTGACTTAGACACACAAGTCAGTTCTGCTCGTATATAACTAAACATTGACTTAGACACACAGGTCAGTTCTGCTCGTAGATAACTACACATTGATTTAGACATACAAGTCAGTTCTGCTCGTAGATAACTACACATTGACTTAGACACACAAGTCAGTTCTGCTCGTATATAACTAAACATTGACTTAGACACACAAGTCAGTTCTGCTCGTATATAACTAAACGTTGACTTAGACACACAAGTCAGTTCTGCTCGTAGATAACTACACATTGACTTAGACACAC